GCTGTTTGGAGCCATGCATTCAGCTTACGTTTCAAAGCAGCCTCTGGAATGCATTAGTGGGATATTATAATTTATCCCTGATCAGGCAAATGCCCACACAACCCCCCTCTCCTCGCCACCTGTTATGTCATCTCTCTAATTGCAAGTCACTGCAGTGATGCTAAGTGTTCCTCGGTGATAGAGTGCTGCTTCCCTAAGAGATTCCTCCTTTGTAGCTACCCAAAGCTCTTTGTATACAGAATAAAGAGCTTCAAGTTCCATATATGCAGTGTTTGGCAAAGGAATGGTTGAAGCAAAAAGAGAGGTGCCAAAAATACCAAACTATTACTGTCATGTCTTTTATAGAGTAACATATTTAGACCCGAGACTTTTGTGTATGTGTGCATTTTACACACACACACACACACACACACACACGTGGGAGTTCATACAAAATGTTAGAAACCTACTCACTATATATGTGGCTAGGGAGAGTATATCACACCTCCCAACAAGTAAGAAATAACGTTATAGTATAGCTACACTTTTTGGAAATAGCCTGTTTGTTTTGTTGTTTACTTGCATGCTGTTGCCCTTACACAATGAAAATGCTGAATGCTGGTTATTTAAACAGCAGCTTTTAAAATTCTATTCTAAACAAAGGCAAAATACATAAGGACCACCATCTGCACTCACATTTTAAAAATGCAGTTTGGTTACAAATAAGTAAGTTTGATCATTATAAGCTACTGTGAAAGATTTATGATGCTCTCAGTTTTACAGGTTGATTCAAATGGATTTCATCAATGGTTTCAAACTTAAAACTTAGCCAAATGCATTTTTTTAAACAACAACAACACCAGAATTCATCTAGCCATCAATCCTTGCTACATGCAAGTAACTCAGAAAAAAGATAAAATGCTGTTATTCTCATTTACTAATTCCCACTCATTATTAAATACTGAAAATGAGCTGCTGAAAATAAGTACAATATAGATAGATACTTTGCTACGTACCTGGGAAACCCCCTTGTACCATTGCTGTATCGCTATGCACTTCAAGGTATCTGCATTCCTGACAAACATTCAGATGCTGAGAGCAGCTCAAATCCTCATCACACACATAGACAGAAAGAGACTCGGAGCTCGTCTTTCTTCTGACGACCTTGGGCCTGACAGAGAGATTTCCCTCGCCTTAAGGGCAAGCTGTCAGTCCTCTTTCTATTGTGAGATGTGATCAATTATACTTAATTTCAGGCTTGCCCACAAGCCAAATAGTTACGCCTGTCAGCAAAACTGCCGGCACAACTATGCAGCAGGGGAAAGAAAATCCCTGGCTTCCCACATCTGACCCACTGACGCTCTACTGCTGCTAGTGCTGCTGCTGCTGTGTTGTTGCACTGCTGGAAATCACTAATATTCGAATGGCATCCCTGTCCCGAAACACAAGTCAATTTATACACAATGCTGCCCCTTTCCTCCTCAGACAGCTACACAGCTGATGTGGTTCTAAATGACCCGCTCTTAATTACAGCAAAATGGTTTATGACATCCAGTCACATGCCTTTAGAAATGCATGTTTCTGGTTCCAATCATCAATGAACGCCTGTCAGCCTAGCAGAGTTTCATAAGTATTACCTTTCGGTTTTCGCATTAAATGGGAGATGCAGCAGAGGATCATGTCTGCAACCCAGAAACAAAACTATCTGCTCTCTTGACATTGATCCAGTCCAAATTCTTATCATTGCCCTGCGGATTATAAGGCATTTAATTCCTTGTCAGTAAAATGCAGGAAAAGTGAGACATTTAAATCATTTTAAAAATATTGCTTTTTCATAGCAGTTAAATTTAATCACAAGCCTGCATAACAGTCATTCAACACTGAGATTTCCTATATATTATTTGCTCTAAATGCAGGGGGAGAATCTGAAGAACGTTTTCTAGGATTCCCTGCCCCTCCCATCCCAAAATACATGGGCATGTGTACATTCATTGACATACCATCTGCTCAGTGTATTAACAGGGAAAGAGCCAAAATGTTGTTATTGGTTACAACTCTCCAAATAGTTTTAGGGGACCACATTTTAAGGGTTCCAACACTGCCTCAGCAGCTGTAAAAATCTGTGCACTGGTACTTTAGTCATGTCACACTACAGAGACCGTGGCAGTGCATGCTTGATGAAATCTTACATGATTGGACAGGAATATATTCTTGTATTCCACCGCCCTTTAAGGAAGGTATGATGGGACAGGTCATTGAAAGAAAGAATAGGAACAATGCCAACAAAAAATTACTTACAAAAATCCATCACATGAAGATAAATGCACAGCATCAAAATTAAAACCCAAGCTCCTTGCTTACAACCCTGCTTTTGTGTCACTATTGAGAGAATGAAACATTTTGTAGTACGTTAAGAAAATACAATAACTGAACAAAAATTAAATATCGAAAGTCTGTATTTTTCAGAGAGGTTTCTAAAGTTATTTTGCCTTGTCCACATCAGGTTCAGCAATGTTTGCTGGTGACTGCAGTGACATCTATTGGAGAGGTAGTGTTTGACTACAGACTCCTGTTCACTTTAGGATAGCTATATATACTGCTATTTTTTCCATTGATCAAATTATTTTCCCCTTCCCCTTTTGAGTCCTACTTGTCCAAAGAAAGGAAGAATTGGAGATACACTCTTCAATAACATAACCACACAGTCAATGCAAGTCAAGTGTCTGTGAACTAATACATGGTCAAATTGGTCAAATCCATATAAACATATCAGCAAAATATACATACTATTGTATTGTGTCATGTACAGAAGAACACGGTTTTATAGATTTCTTCCGCAAAACAAAACATATCTAAGATTGGGCTTATTATTAGGCCACCTGAGGTGGTTTAAAGAACATGCAGATGGGAATTCATCCAAAACTGTGTCAAGATTTGAATCTGCTGTGGGTTCGGAACCTAGCATAGGGATTCAACCTGTGCACCACTAGCAAAATGGAAACTAGTTTGACCAGAAAATAAGCCTTATAAGTCACATGGTACTCCTTGACCCTCTAAAGCAGGCATGGCCAAACTTGGCCCTCCAGATGTTTTGGGACTACAATTCCCATCATCCCTGACCACTGGTCCTGTTAGCTAGGGATGATGGGAGTTGTAGTCCCAAAACATCTGGAGGGCGAAGTTTGGCCATGCCTGCTCTAAAAGAAGGACCATGTGAACCTCCTCCAACTCCAATCAAAACCAGCAGCATGACGCAAGGTCAGAGATGATGGGAACTGCAGTCTGATAAGAAAAGCCCATCTAGACCAGTATCCTGTTCTCACAGTGGCCAGCCAGATGCCTCTGGGAAATCTGCGAACAGTAACAGATTTTCAAAGGCATACTCCAACATTGGAGGCAAAACAAAGCCTTCATGGCTAGTAACCATTGATAGCCTTGTCTGCCAGGAATTTGTCTAATCCTTTTCTGAAGTCATTGGAGTTGGTGATCATCGCTTGCTTCCTCAGAAAGTTAGAAAGGGATCTACCATGCATCTTCTGCTGTGAAGACCGAAGCAAACAAGTCAGTCAACGTCAAACTCCTTTTCCTCCTTTAGCATACTTTTGACATCCTTGTCAGTCAACAGATCAACTGCCTCCCCACATGGGCTCATTGGCAATATATGCAATGAATTTGTTACAAGTTTCTTTATATTTTTAACAATGTGATCTTTGGTTATTATTACAGGTGGCAAATATTTTCCATACATCCAATTGATGCACAACCGTGGACGTGTGGGTCGTTTTGGACCCAGAAGAGGGCAGAACGTGATGCAGAACATGGCAGGATTATACGTGCTCCTCTGACACACATGGGAGTTAGGAACAGAATCCCCGTGCAAAATAGTCGCCACCCTGTATTTTCCAGATTTGGGGCAGGATGCGGAATCCGTCAATATTATGTCCCAATAGGCAAAGTTTGAGCCCAAACTTTTCATTTTAGAAATTTACTGACAAACTTACAAAAAAGCAAGCAAAAAACAACAGCAGGAGCATTTTTTCCTGAATTCAATATATTTTGAACTTAAGCTAGGCAAAGGGCTTGTTGGGAGCAGAGCCACACACATTTTCTGCAAATACTCCACAGCAGGCACTGTAACTCTGCAACGGCTTGACTTTAATCCTAAAGGTGCGCTCCTCCATTGTCTCCTGAGATAGATGGATGCTGACAACAACTCTGAAATTGCAGATGGCTCAGATCAACCTGCCCTGCCCCACACAGCAGCTGCTGGAGCTTTTGAGTGAATGCAGGGAAATAGCCAACACAGAGTTTGCTACAACACATACCTAAGCCATCCACCATCACTCCTTCCAATCCAACAATTCTCTTCCCACCCCGCAAATGCAAAACAATTAAAACAGACATTTGTTATAGCAAGAGACCCACACTATGTCCACTGTGGCTTGCTTGCTTTCCCACACAAAACAAATAAACAACAAGTAGGAAGCACTCCCTGTTTTTTCCTTGGTACCAGAGCAAGCTAAAATCTGCGAGATCTGACATTCATTGAAACAATCCTCAGCACTGGCTACATAAATAAGAGAAACTAAAGCCTACGTTTGATATTAATCTATGGATACCATCTACCTCAGAGGACCAATTCCATTTTCATGAGCTTAGTGAAAAATACATATTTTTTCCACATTCAAATTATGAGTATCATAGGAACACAGGAAGCTGCCTTATACTAAGTCAGACCATTTGTCAATCTAGCTCAGCATTGTCTACACTGACTGGCAGCAGCTCTCCAAGGTTTTAGAAAGGAGCCTCTCCCAACCTTACCAGGGATTGAACCTGAGACTTTCTGCATGCAAAGTAGATGTTCCACCACAGAGCTATGGCCACTCCCTTTGGCAACATTTAACTGCAGTTCTACAATGTGCTTACCACACAACAATGCTATTTTAGAAGGCACCATTCTATACAGAGCAACCCTATTCAGAAATTCAGTCGATCTAGTAAAACTAAGTAAGACAACTTACCATCTGTGTAAGTGTCATCTTCTTCCTCCTCCTCCTCTTCCTCCGTCTCTTCAGAGCGGGACTTTTCTTTGTAAGGAGGTGGCAATTTCATGGGCGGTGGAGTTTCACTTTTCTTCTGAAAGAGAAGAGAAGCTCAGTACATTATGCAGAAAACCTTCAGAGTTGCTTCCTTCTTCAGCTCAAGAAATCACTTATGGAAGCATATCTTCGATTTTAAAGTTTCAGAAGCTTCAGGTTCAGTGAAATTTTTGACTGCTTTAAAAACAACACACACACACACACCCCACACTATGTTTCTAAATCCGAACCAAAGAGCAGAAAATGCAGAACATGGATTTCATAGCGGGTTCTGAACGAACACCACCACACCACCCCGCTAAAGGACTTCATTATCAATATACATACCAAAACCATGATAGCAGCAAGGTTTACCTTACTTAGCTGACAACATCAATTAAAAACATTCCCCCCCCCTTTTTTGACAAGAACCTTAATCCTTTTAAAAACAAATCTGTTTTTTGATGTGCTGTTTTGATAATGCTCTACAGGCATTATAACTTACAATATTTTTCTTGGAGCTCAGCTCCATTTCAGATACGTTATACATTACAAAACTTTCAATAAAATTCCATTACCTCACATAAATAAAGGCACTTTCGATAATGATGCATATAGTGGTGCATATCAGTCCCAAAGAAAGGAGCTCAGGAGTACTGCAGCAAACGCATCCAAGCATCTGTTTCCTTGGCTCCAAGTAACTGAATCATTCTTTAGCTGCACAGTTTTACTGAATTATGCTCAATTGCATCTCATGCAATCACAATGCTAATAGCTTGGTGCACTTTAGTAAACAAATGGTAAGTACCAGATGTCATGAGAGCAACGCAAATGGCCGGAAAATCCTTTTTCTACAGGAGAGAATGATTACCAAAGGTCCACATGCCATTTTTTTGAAAAATCCCCACCCCCACCTCCTGCCAACGCCTGTAATAAAAGCAACATCTTGAAGGATGTCACAATCTTGTATGAACCATCGGCATTTATACTAATATACATATGATTCTAAATCAGCTTGTGGTTTTTTCTTGTGTGTATATATATAAAACAAATTTCATTCAGCTAAAAATAAAAGCAGGTACTAAAGAAAAACCAAAGTAATGTTAAAAGGTAAAGGGACCCATTAGGTCCAGTTGTGATCGACTCTGGGGTTGTGGCGCTCATCTCGCTTTATTGGCCGAGGGAGCCGGCGTACAGCTTTTGGGTCATGTGGCCAGCATGACTAAGCCGCTTCTGGCGAACCAGAGAAGCACGGAAACACCGTTTACCTTCCCGCCGGAGCGGTACCTATTTATCTACTTGCACTTTGACATGCTTTCGAACTGCTAGGTTGGCAGGAGCAGGGACCGAGCAACGGGAGCTCACCCCGTCATGGGGATTCGAACCGCCGACCTTCTGATCGGCAAGTCCTAGGCTCTGTGGTTTAACCCACAGCGCCACCCGCGTCCCAACCAAAGTAATGTTACCTTGTTGTTAAAAAAAAGCTTCATAGCAACAAAATTACAAGCAAAGCTGAACTCTCTCTAAAATGAAAACCATTCAGTCACATGATCAATATAAAGAAGTTTAGGCATTAGAAGAAAATAAGACTGCTTGGGTAGAGTGCAAGGATATCTGCTACCCAAACCCAACAGAATTTTAAGGATAAATGGTATCTCATGTACTTAAAACTAAAATTCATTTGGGAGTCTCAAGTTATAATGAGTTACAATGGCAGGTTCCATTTTTTTCTACCTTGAAATTTCTCCTAACCAAGCTGTAACTCCTTTTTGGCTCTACAGGGTAAACTCCATTTGAAAACCAAAGGAGCTCCAGCACAGAGTGATGGTTGGGTCAATGGGCTGCTATTCTAATAAATACTTATTTTGTGCAGTTATAATTTGTTAGTTGAGTTGGGTGTACCAATGGAAAATCCAGATAAAAACCTAACTAACAGATTCTCCTGACTTTATATAAGCTTTAGTGCAAAGCTGATCCTTCAGGACTGTGACTAGGAGCCTATTGTAACATGTATTATTATACATATACTTGACTTCTATTTTAGCACACAAGACTCAGCACACTGGGATTTTGTCAGTGAGATCTCTAATCATATGCCATCTCCAAAACTCATGTATGCCATTAGCCTTTAATCAAATCCTATGTGCCCGTGTGCCCTATTAGAACTTAAGTGATGGAGAGGAATGCTTACTGCTTACAATAATAATAAAAAAGAAACCATTAGCAGAACAACCACATTTTGCTCCTGTTATGAACAGCCAGGAATACTGCATAATTTAACAGTACAACTTCTACCCGCAAGGCTCATGGAAGATAATTTAAAACTTTATTTGGGGGGGGGGGGGAAATGCTTGAGAAGCATCTTCACAATAAAATTGCTTTCTTAACTGGCAGTTTGGGAATACCCAAATGTTGAAAGTTGGCATTGCTATAAGGACATGGATTTGATGTACACAATGTAGATAGAAACTGAGCAATGATACATGGACTTTCTTTAGTGATCAGGCAGAAAATATCTTCTCAGTGTAGCTTCTCATGCCCTGAAATTTCCCTACAGAGGTATCAGGGATGGTAACATCAAGTGATGAATGGGTGTGTTGTGTCTGAAATCAAAGACTCCTGGAGCACAGGTGGATTTAGGGGAGCACAACCAGTTCGGTCCCCCTTGGGCACAGAGAGTCAGAGGCGCTGCAGGTGATGCCACAATTGAAATGGGGCATGAGAGGTGGCACAGGGCCTAGTTCAGAGCCTCCTCAATAGAAATCAGGGCCCCTGAATTGATGTCTAGCATCACCACTGACGCTATCTATTTACCTGTGGTCACATTTGAAATCTTATGTGAAGGCTGGGGAGCTTCAATGTACTAGCCTATTAATATACATGGGTAAGTGCCAATTATACTATTCTCTTACCTACAGGGAATGGTTGTAAATTAGTAGCACAGCCCATGCTCTGCACAGAAACAATTAACACCACCACCACTCCTGTCTGAAACCCTAGACTGAAACTGCCACTCAGTGTAGAAAATACTGAACTAGATGAAACAATGGCCTGCATCAACTACATTCCCAATAAAGAACACCAGTGTGGAAGAATGCTTCACAGATTGAGGCCCACTTGGAAAATGAGTAAAAGAAGGAAAGGAAAGAAACTGGAAAGAAAAAAAACTTATTTATTTTTTCTTTACATATAAGGTACTGTTTTTTAAAAAAAAGCAGTGAAGAAGAAGATATAGAACATCACTATAACAATGGTTAACAGTCAACAGTTACTAGAAAACATTTAACAAGCCATAGAAGTCTACAGGTACTGTTGTTCACGCCAAAACATGCCTCCTGCTATCCCTCACACTTGAATTTAAGCATTTTGGATTGCATTTCTAAGTGAAACTACAAACTAGAACTGCCATGAGAAAAAAGAATGTATAGGACGGTATTCAACTAAATAGTTCTGTGGTTGTAAGTATTTCCATTTAGGCAATGCAAATTCCACTCTCTCCCCCCACACAACTACTGTACCCTCCCCCAAATCTGTTCTGGAAGCTGGGGAGTGGGGAAACAGAACAGATGGGGGGACAGGGAGAAAAAAGAGAGGGGTTCCATTGCACAGCCATAAGTCCTTGCACTAATGGAACTACTTTGTTAGCAATTGGATATCTAGTTCTCTCCCTCCCTCTCTCTCTGTGTATAATCTACTTTTTAAATGGTTCTGTCTTCAGAAGATGAAGAACCAGGATATATGTCTTTTCACCTGTGGCATTAAATCTACCTCCATAGCCTAGGCTCACGTAGCTTTCTGCTATCTACAATACGAGGTAAACATACAAATTAATCTGTGCTTATCTCTGGCTGTTAATAGCTTGTCGAATGAAATGTCTTGGATCACTTTCTGTATTTACAATGAGCCAAAGCCCAGAGGCAAAGGATGAAATCATCACCTTGAACAAGCATGGCTGATTTCATTGCAGCCTAGACTGGAAAAATACTACTGCTGGTGCCTAGGAATGTGACACATTTAACTCTCTCTGCTGGAGTGGGTCGTGTAAATAGGATTCTGGCTACTAGTAATTTCAAAATGTTCATTCATTATGTATGCCAGTTCTATTGGAACAATCCCAGCAATAGTTTGATTGCCTTTTCATCTTTACCAGCTCACTGTAAACACAGGAATAGTTTATCTACTAGTTTGTTAAGTTTGTTAGCTTGTTAAGCTAAAATCAAAGAATCCTGAGTTACCATTTTAGGGACTTTCCAAAGGGATAACTGCATTAGTCTGTTGCACTAAACAGAAAAAATAACTTGTGGCACCTTAAAGACTAACAAATTGATTACGGTGTAAGTTTTCATGGCCCAGAGTCTACTTGATCAGATGTATTGGATGTTATCCTAAATTGGATATTACAGTTATTTATATAAACACATCCTGGCTACTAACGTTATATACACTAGAACTGCATGCATACTTTAAAAGAGAGGGACAGAAAGAGAGACAGAGACCAGTTGCCACCACTAGACCATCTACTGGGGTGTGGCTTCTCCATCTTCCACTAACTTCCTCCCCTGCCAAAAACAAAGCGGAACATAACCACTAAGCAAGCTTTGAGTGTATGGATTCTACCAGCTCCCATGCACTTAAACCTTTGCATTTGTGAATGAGCTGTCAAATATAGCAAATACGTTATTACCAAAAAATGATTTTCATGTTCTAAAAATACAAAGAGGAAGAAAATCACTAGTGACTCAAGTAATTAGCAATGATAATCTGGGCTGAAACCAAACATGGCCCATAGGCACAACACACAATAGTTCAATATTCTGATTTTCTGATGCAGCTCTGATACAGAAATCTCCAAAGGGAAAAAAATCCATTACTGGTAGGCAAGCAGAGTATGTCTTAAATTGTTATGTTTTATTTTATATCTTGATCGCCTACATGAAAAGGTGTACATGCATTTCATTTTACAGAGTTATAGTAGCAAAGAAAGAGATATCTTTCACAGCTTTCAGGAGGATTAGTGAACTCGGCCCTTGAACTGTAAAAATGCAGCGATCGGGAATCTAGAAGGTTAAAAGGGTGATACACTGCAAATGGATGGGGTTTTTTTCTTCTTTTTTTTTCAGATGAGCTGCTACAGAGAATGAAAATCAGCCACGAATACTCTAACTACATATTGGGGGTTGCTTTATTCAAGGTCCAAATCACAGCAGCATAATCTCCATATTATGCAAATGAGATATATTAATTATGCAAATCAGACTTGCTATTTCTGCATAACCAATTTGTCTCATTTTCGTGAGGCACTTCACCTCTGCTCCTGCCATGTTCTAGGAGAGACACAGCAAGGGAAAACACAAGGGAAGGTCTTTACCTGACCATTATTTCCACTGTTAGAGGAGAGAGAACCTTCTGACTCCAGTCTTGCACCTCTTCAGCACTAACCCAGAAATAGGAGTTGGAAGATGCAGAAAGACCCCTTCTTTGGTCTGCCTTCCTTCCGCATGCACACTAAAACTTTCTTCTTAATTAATATGAAAAAAACAAGTTCCTTGGGTAGGATGGGAAAAATCTTCTTTTGTAATAGCTACTGTGCAACTATTTCTTTTTCTAATCAAGCAACATCCTTAACTCAGTTAGGAAAATGAGATTTATTTCTATTCTTTTGAATTTATTCAGTTACATTCAATGACATGAATACCCAATCTAATCAGCATTTAAAAAACAACAACACACACCCCATGAGACCCTATAACACAACGAACTAAAATCCACTGACAAACACAAAATAAAAAGTAGTAGTAAATTTAAAAGCACACAAAAATCTTATTCTATATATATATATATATATATATATACATATATATATATAGAAATAGCCCAGACAGTAGCATCTACACATCTGCCAGGAAAAGGTTTTCATGAGGTACCCTTACCATGGCCCAGTCCTAACTTTGGTTTTATCTATCACCCTGCCAATTCATCAATTCATCCCTCTAATTTCAAGGCATTCCCCAGCCTCCATTATGATTTCCAATATATGCTTAGGGTTTGCAAATGGGGATGATCTACACCTCAGATTTGTGAATTATCGGGGGGGGGGGAGGCATTACTGATGCCCTCCACAGGCCGCCCCACCCCTGTGGATTCTCAGCTTTCAAAATAATTTTAAAACATGCCTTTTGGGGTTTGCTTACCAAGCAAGAGCAAGGGGCAGGGAAATTTCAACACTATTTTAATCTGAATCCGTTTTTATTCTGTTTGGTTAGATATTAGCTTGTGTTGTCCACTCCAAGGCAGACGGAGCAGGTTATGAATCCCAAAACGTACTCTGAGGACTGGTATAGTTCCCTGTGATGGCAGCTGGAGTGCATAAAATGTTGGGACCTGATCCAGCCACCCCTGTTTTCCCCCCAATGGGAAATACACACACAAACCCTCTAGAGTTAAAAACTAGTTGGAGTCAAATCTATAGACTTATTTACATTGGTTAAATTATGAGCATAAAGCCCCCAAACCTACAAATCAGCCTATGCATTTTCTTGGTTCACTCTGAACATTTAACTGAAAAGGCAAAAATTTCTTTAAGACTGGAACCCTACACTTACCTGGGAGTAACACCTATTGATCGCAGTGGGACTTGCATGCATACGATTGAGTTGCAAAAGGCTTGAATATAGACACCTCCCCCTCTTTAGCAAAACTGGTTTTTTTGTGACTCACTCAAATATGAACATCAATCCACATTTCTTTTTTTAATTAAGCCGCTGCTGAATTATTGCTTTTAATGTTATCTCATTTTTATGCATGACATTGTGAATAGCAGTAAGGTTCAATTGCAAGTATAAAATACATATTTTTTATTTGCCTTTCCAAATATACAAGCAAATCTACACACAGGCACACAAAATCTCTAGATATTATCCTTGTGTTTAAAGGAATTCCTCCCTGTGTCTTAAAATGGAAAAAAAACTACCTTCTGTATTATGCATTGCTACGTGAAGTTTATTTTGTAAGTGAGAGATAGCATCTGCAATACCTTTCCACAGTCTCCCTCTGGGTCTTGAACTTTGTGGTCCTTATTTTTCTTGGGGTTCACAATGGAAACTATCTGCCGAATACATTAAAAAAATACATTGTTTATACATTCATTCCATACAATTGGGGGCCTATAACAAAGTGAGAAGCTCCTGTTCAGGATTCTAGACAGCCATCTTGTCTTGCAGGATATTACAAATCACTCCCTCCCCATCTGGCTTCCCATTCAACCCCAACTCAGCATGCTCAGTCCTCATTTGGCAGCTACCTTGTGCCTTTAAATCCCCGCCCCTAAAGTTTTACTCTACAAAATTGCATGTTCCACACAAAAGAGGGAGATATCAGCAGGCTTGGGGAAACTCTTTGTCGGCTATGCAAGATTGGTACTCGGAAAACAAATTTTCTGTTTAGTACATATTGGAAAGACTTTAGGCTCGAGGGATATACTTTGTTCCCGCAAACCCTGGAATCCACCAAGCAGAGCCAAATGCAAAACAAAGGCAAGAGATGGAAGCAATATAGAACTAAGGAAAGGGTTAACCGGAGCATACATTCAGTCCAGTAGTTTGTTTCCAGTACCAGAACAGAGCTCAGTTTTGTTACAAGAAAATCAAAGCTCTCCTGCAAGGAGGCTGAAAGTCCTCCTGCCGATGGAAGGAACCCTCCCATTCATGGAAGGGTGACCTGGGATCAAAATCATTATTCTGGAGGTACAGAAAAATGAGTGATAGTTCAGAATACAGTTGATTAATTCGGAAGCTGAATTTCTTGAAGAGCAAATGTGAGCACTCTTGACTATACAAACTGTGTACCAAACACAAAAAGAAAACTGAGCTCCACTAGAGCCAGGATAGGGAATCTGTCATCCTTCAGATGTTGGGCTCCAGCTCCCAGCAGCCCACAGTCGCCATGTCCATTAGGAATGATGGAAGTTGTCTCCTAGTTTGAGGAAACCCAGAGGTTCCACACCTCTGTGCTAGAGACACACTAAAGTCTTGGGCTACCTCCTAACTGCCGGAAGTAGGTATGGGGTGATATTACATTCTGATGCTGTATTTGTTTGGCTGAATTTGTATTTGAAGGTTGCCTTAAACCCTTCTGTTCTAGGATGAGATGAGAAGGAAACTAAAAAAAAAAAAGAGGATGTAGGTCTTTTGTTTTAAAAACGCACACACCTTCTACAGCATGCATCGTAACTTACCCTTGGAAGAGTAGACAAACTCTGAACAACAAACACTATGGGGTTGCCTGCATTTTTTATGGCTTCCACAGCTTCTTCATGAGTTGCATTCTGCAGGTCTGTTCCAGACACCTGCAGAGCAAGAAGCCTATTTAGATGCTCTTCTGCACTGTTCACAGTACAAGATGCAACAGAAGCTCTCAGCCAGTAAAAATTAAGCGCCCGAAAAAAGGTCACCAAGAGGTTTACTATAGCAAATATATTTAACTAAATGAGTGGTTCAAAATTGTCCTTAATCAAATCAGCACGGTATTCAGTCCATGACAAGTGATGCATTCACATTTACAAATAATTGTCTTAAGACATGCAGGCATAAGAAAATGCATAGAAACAGTAGCTGGACAGGAACCTGGCAACACATGGCTCTCTTCCTCAACTGTGGTTGCGTTGCTAAGACATTCTTTCCTTATGGTTGATTTCTTCTCGTTGACAAAGTGGCATGTTTCACATGTTTCATTTTGAGGGAGGAAGTAATGCATATTTGAGAATCTGCCTTCATGTCAGAAATTAGACTTGGCGAGTCTGAGTAGTTTCAGTCACTAGTGATATGCACATATACAGAAAGCATGAACACAGGAATCCTGTATTAAATTGCGCTTCCTGTATTTATGCATAGTATTAACACCTCCAGTGGGACTTCTGCATTCTCTCCCATAGGCTTAAGGAGCACACACATCTCCATGTGGAACCTGGGCAAACCCACCCTTCAGATATTAACAATGTGTGCAAATACAGGACACTCAGCTCACACGTCTTGAATTCATACATCTTGAACTCACAAATGCAAGTTTACTATGTATACTTACAGTTCAGGCTGATTTGATTTCCTGTTCGAAATATGCATTTAATGCTTGAACACATACAGCTAAGACGGGTGTGTACAGACACAACTTTTTAAAGATACAGATGTTTGTCTGAACTTACCTCAAGTATTTTATCCCCAGTTTTGAGAGCTTTTGTTCGGCCTGCTGGGCTGTCTTCCAAGACTTGCTTGATAAATATACCTTTAAGTTCTTCTCCATTCTTTAAGCGTTTTATAACTGTATGTCCGCCAACAATACTGATGCCAAGTGGCACATGGGGTTCTCGAAAAATTTCAACACTGTAGAGAGTAAGACAATCCTTTGAACATGAGAGGGTTCAGTTACGTGATTTTTGTTTCACTCTGCAGTCCTGATGCTAATCTAAACATATTGTTCTTTGTAAGGTGTAACATAAGCCTTTTAAAACGAGAAGCGATTTGTATGTTATGTTATAGCCTGGTGGAAATTGCTGAAAAGCAGTCTCAGTATCCTTCTGATGAAACACGCAAAAGCAGGGAACTCAACCCACTCAGTGATTCCAGAAGGCCTCAGTCTGATGTTATAAGAGATGATGGTACAACCCCTGTCCTACGAACAACAGAAAAGCCAGATGACAGCAACAACTGAATTTGCTTGCTGGAAACTAATTTAAAGGAAATGTTCCTGCATTTTATCATGAGAAAATGACACAAGAAGAACCCTGCTTGATCAGATCAAAATATTCACCTAGTACAGCAACCTACTCCCTCTTAAGTCTTCTGTGTATTGCATTATTTCCACTCTTCACTATAGTAACAACATACCCAATATGCCCTTCTCTCTCCTTTCCATCGAGTTTGTATTCAGGGATAACTGTGTCCCACTGATTCTCTCATTCTACCAGGTTACTGATATACCCACTATATTTATGTTCTTATTTAGCATCTTACTCCCCATCTCCAATTGGCTTTTATCCCATATATTAGTCTAGAAACTGCTCTGTAACCTGTAAAAAAGCAGTCCACTTCTATTGCAGTCCAAATGAAACCCATTCTTTGTGTACTGGCTTTGCTTGTCTTACAATAGTCAACAATGCCTAACAAATCTAGACCTTACACTTATATCCATACTTTGGAGAACCCTCATCACCATACACACACCACACCACACCACACCACACCACACCACACCACACCACACACCTAGTAGGGTTACATTTAAAGTAAAAAATATATATTGCCAGAACAGAATCTGATGTACTGACAAAAGCCAGTTAGATTAAAGTTATTCCACTGGTCCATACTGCCAATAGAAAGACTTGCATCCAAGCACAGACTGCAGGTCTTGGGTTTCCAATGGAAGTTGTGACTGATGCGCTTGAGAACTCCAGCTAAACCACTAGGGAGCTCACATACATGCACACACAACCCTGCACTTCAACTCTTTGCCAGCTGCATTCAGGCCATATGCTGGGAAGCCCAGAAAGAAAAACTGCTGTCCAGTTGCCATCATCAACTAGTTTATCATTTTAACTATGCCACTGGGTATCTTTAAAGTCTGCTCCCTACTTCCCTGCCTGCCAACTCCCTACTTCCTTTCCTAGAACTCGTCATTCAACATCCAGGTGAAATGAACTCGGGTAAGTTGGCAGGCACATGTTGCTTTGTGAAACACTAGCAAATCCACACAGATTGAAAGGCAAACTAGGCATAAAAATAATAATCTGTTTTTGCCACTCAGTTAAATAAAACAGTTCTGATGCAGAGGTGCACATCTTTCAGAACCATGTGCATTTTGTCATTGTTTTTATCTCCAGTCCTCTTTCAACAGCACTTCCTGTCAGGCCCTCAGGGTTTTATAGATTCCCGCAAGTTTTGGGGGATTTAGTAGATAGACTCACAAGTATCCCAATAAGTGCATGACACAAAAAGCCCAGCATGCATGCACACACATCTCTTCTCTTCTTGCAGCAGCTGGATGTAAAGCTACTTTAAATAGTGCTGGGACTCAGCTACACTGGAAAAGAAAAAGCACTTAATATGCATTGTATAAAGGTAAAGGGACCCCTGACCATTAGGTCCAGTCGCGGACAACTCTGGGGTTGCGGCGCTCATCTCACTTTATTGGCTGAGGGAGCCGGCGTACAGCTTCCGGGTCATGCGGCCAGCATGACTAAGCCACTTCTGGCGAACCAGAGCAGCACACGGAAACACCGTTTACCTTCCTGCCAGCGTGGTGTCTATTTATCTACTTGCACTTTGTCATGCTTTCGAACTGCTAGGTTGGCAGGAGCAGGGACCAAGCAACGGGAGCTCACCCCGTCGCAGGGATTCGAAACCGCCAACTTTCGGATCGGCAAGCCCTAGGCTCTGTGGTTTAGACCACAGCGCCACCCGCATGCATTGTATAAGCATTATAATAATACTGTGACACCAGATGGCGCTGTGGAATCCCGTTTTTTCCAACCTGATTTCTCATACAAAGTTGACAACGTCTTTAACTGAAACGCTTCTTTGATGTGTCTAGATCCAGCCTTGGGCAAGCACTGCTATAGAGCCACTTCACAAAATACAGTTTACCACTGAGAGTGTAAGCTCAATAGAGAGTTATAGCTAATTGCATGTCCATGATGAATGGACCTCTACAATATTTATAGGGACATGGGTGGTGCTGTGGTCTAAACCACTGAGCCTCTTGGGCTTGCCAATCAGAAGGTTGCTGGTTTGAATCCCCATGATGGGGTGAGCTCCTGTTGCTCTGTCTCAGCTTCTGCCAACCTAGCAATTTGCTAGCAGGCCAGTACAAGTAGATACTGCTGTGGCGGGAAGGTAAACGGCGTTTCCGTGGGCTCTGGCTTCCATCACGGTGTTTTGTTGTGCCAGAAGCTGTTTAGTCATATTGGTCACATGACCCAGAAATATGTCTGTGGACAAACGCCGGCTCCCTTGGCCTGAAAGTGAGATCAGTGCCGCAACCCCATAGTTGCCTTTGACTGGACTTAATCGTCCTTTACTTTTTTTACCTTTTACAATATTTACTTATTTAATAAACTAACTATACTGCTTAACTATAAGAAAAACCTCACAGCATTTTATAAAAAGTATAAAACAATGAGATTGTCAGTAAAAACTACTATTTAAAAACTTCAAAAATAATTAAAATCAATGATAAGCTAAGAGCCAAATCAAAACACATCTCAGCATTCTGCATATCTGGATACACAATACATGTGTTTTAAGGGCATACACCTTAGGGACACACACACAAAAAAACCCTAATGTGTGAACTTGCCCTCATTTAGAGGTTTGTGACTACCAGGAGCTTTGAATGCAAGTGGTATGCCTAGATAGCAAAACCTGCATGTAGGAATACACAGGTGAACCAACATTCGTTGATAATTTAACTACAATGGAAAACTGGCAAGTTTCTAAAAACAACAGGATTGATATAATAAAGCTTTTTCAGCAGGACATCTGCTAAGCATTAATTGTATCTGTAGTATTTAGCAAAGCTGGAATCACAACTACCTCAGTGCTATTCATGAATGGATTAACTAAACGGTCAAGCAAACAGTCACTGGCAAAAGATGAAAAGTTAAGGCAAGCATATACTCCACGCCAAAAGGCCTCAAATAATTTCTAAGGCAGGAGAAATGTTGAAACATTTATCAACATACGTTTGCGGTGTTCCCCAGTGACTGAAAACTGGAGTTTCTTCTCCTTCTCCTTCTTCTCTCTCAGGCAATTCACTAAATAAGTAAAATAAAAATAATTTTTAGCTTCCCACACTTTTCTGCTTCCTAACATTCATTCTTTATGCTTCACACACCTTTACCACCTTATCTTCGCTTACAACAGATATTCAGTGGACAAAACAGATACATCTTTTATCAGTTAATAGTTACATTTTTCCATGCTCTTGGAAGTGAGCACACTCTGGCTTTGCACAACAGGGTGAGAAATCCAGGTCCTCTTTATTAAAGCTAAAACCATTGAAGAAAATAGTTCTGCCTCGTTACTTATTTCAGTTCAGGCAAAATAAGGGTGTGCATAGTGTCACTGTATACAGGAGATGTTCAAGTATTTGTCTGAACATGTGAATATTCAAAGTATATTCGAATATACACACACCTCACACAATTGTGTGGAGGGTTCTACTCATGTTCAAGTGAATAACAGTAAATCTTCCTGCAGACCTTTGCCACTCAACACAGGGATAGCCACAGACTAAGCGTATGGGGCTTTATACGATGGAGATATGGATAGCATGCCCATCCCTGTCCATGGATCATGTGCTCAGGAACAATGTCTGAATAGGCCTACAGTGTAATTACTTGGTGACATGGGACTTGCTTGTATCTGGATGGAGTCAGGAGTTTCCCATTGCTGTTCTGCTCTTGTATTCTTTAAGACAGACAACAAAGTTTTTTTGCACAGCTTTGTGAGTGATGTGTCTCCTATACCTTCCATGACAATAAGCAAACATTTTTCAAGTTGAGAGTCTCTTCCATACCTTGGCAGCCCTAGTAGAAGGGAGGCAGAATCCAGGGCACTGGAATGGTCACAATTTTCAGTCTTCAGGTTATTTCTGTCATGATCATCATCAACACATAGAGGAGCTTTCATGTCATTTTGCATCTTGGCACCTGGCACAATTAAGAGATCAGTTATCGTTCAATGATGCGGAGGTTGTGAGCAAAAAGGTACAGTGAGCTTAGAATAACTGACCAAAGACATCTTATGTTTAGGCTGACATATCTTGCATTAATTAAATGCAATAAGGGCAGAAAGATAAATCCAGCTGATATTTATTTATTTATTTATTTATTTATTTATTTGATGATAACTTACTCATTCCATGGCCATCCAAGATAGTATTTGGTTGGCTGTACTCTGATGCTCCAGGGAACCCTGAACTGTTAATTCCATTTTCTTTAGCCTTCTGTGAAAAAGGGAGAGAAAAAACCAGGCAATTCAAATTTGGAAATTTGCTGACATTGCACTATGTTGCAGAGAGACGCTGAGTTTACTGGAAACTTAACTTTTAAAATTAATTCAATAACATGTTCTTATGAACATAAGATGTGACCATTAATTGAACCCTGCTGCCCAAAACCACAGTTATTGCAGCTGACATTGTTTACACTTTGTAGCATTACGCTTGCAGAATATCATGTAAGCCTCTTTATTGCAAAAATTCCTAATTGTCTAAATAATCAACCGCTTCAATCTGTGCTAGTTAAACCTGTGTCCCTCCAGATGCAGATGGACTCCATTTCCCATCTGCCCCAGCTAATATGATGGGAGATGAAGTCCAGCAGCACCTGGAAGGGAATTGTGCTCACCATCCCTGATTTAGATATCCGAGTTTGCCCTCAAACAGAAAATTCCCCAGCAATATCCGTAACGAACAGGGGGCATCCCATCCTCATAAAGGTAATGGGACCCCTGACCATGAGGTCCAGTTGTGACTGACTCTGGGGTTCCGACGCTCATCTCGCTTTATTGGCTGAGGGAGCCGGCGTACAGCTTCCGGGTCATGTGGCCAACAGGACTAAGCCGCTTCTGGCAAACCAAAGCAGTGCACGGAAACGCCGTTTACCTTCCACTGGAGTGGTACCTATTTATCTACTTGCACTTTGATGTGCTTTCGAACTGCTAGGTGGGCAGGAGCAGGGACGGGGCAACGGGAGCTCACCCTGTCGCGAGGATTCAAACTGCCGACCTTCTGATCGGCAAGTCCTAGGCTCTGTGGTTTAACCCACAGCACCACCCGCGTCCCTATCCCATCCTCATACTTCACATTAAAACTTGTTTCTACTTCTCTTGCTACTGTATATGCAAAAAAAGAAGAAGTACCTCTTTAGTAGCACCAAGGCCCATGTCAGAACTTAGTTCTTCCATGGTAGGAGGTTCTAGTTCCTTTGCCCAATGCCTTCCAGTCTCAACGTGGATCTCACTAGATGCAGCCGGCTCTTTTACACCTGGTGGAATATAGCCTAAATAATCCTGATCCAGATCATACTCATCATCCACCAGCATCTCCCGTTCTTCACCAAGATGAGCCTCTGCAGGCTTCAAAAACTCATGCATTTCCCAGGACTCCTTATCAGCATCCATCTCATTCTGTGCAAGCTGAAACTGCCTCCCCAAATGCAGGATCGGTTCATCCACAAGTTCCTCTCTAGAGAAAGATTCAGCTCTGAAGTCCTGCATTAAATAATAATAATAATAATAATAAAAATGAAAGTAGAGATTTGCAGTAGCCCTTTTAAAAGAAGGAGGGCGGAGAATTACTGTTTATCATAGTTGCATCCTGGGAACATTTTAGATTTTACAACTATTGCCTTTCTTTGGGGGGGGAATCTATAAAACAATTTCACAATATTAGGAAAATGAAACTGTACAATAAAACACATACATAAAGCATTATTTTGTATTAAAAATAACTGAAGTACAGAAGTTCTTCTATTGGCTGAATTTGTAATGAAAACAAGCTTTGGCGAATTCCAGGGACATGTGGAATTTGATGGGACTGCGGCACAACTCCATGCATGTTTACTTGGAAGTAGGTCCCCCTAGGTTCTTTGCGTTTAATGCCAGATTAAATTAAACGTTTCCATTTCTGTTCAGAGGCTGAAAACTATGGCTGGAATGGAAGTATTCCACTCTGGATGTCACAGCAAACTACAGCTGCTATAAAAATGAGGAAGGGAAACAGAAGCACGTGAACAGAGGAGAAAGTAATGAGCGCAAATATTTGGTTATGATGCAGGACCAGGGCCATAGTATTAATAGCAAGTAAGTCAGAAGATGCTGCAACACATAAGGCTATGGGGCACTGGAGCAAGAAGGAAGCCTATTTTGCCTGAGAGGCTCACTGCAAATTGTTAACCTATATGTAGCCAAAAAAGGTGCTCATTTGTGTTCTACTATTCTTCTCATATGCACATATACTCTATCAACAGAATGTTGAGAGCAACTTGAGGAGTAGAATGGAGCGGGGATGGGGATATCCCTCATTTCCCAGATGCTCCTACCAGTCTTCTCATGCTGTTACTTCAGGAAGGCCTTGAGCCAGCTTTTCATCTGGCTGTTTTATAGTCTATAAAATGAAGTTGGGGGCCAGATCAAAAGGAGGTGGGGTTCCAATTAATATACTATGCTGCAGGGATAGAAAGAGACTACTGTATATGGAAAAGAAGCACAAGGCAATTCAATTTACCTCAGAGTAAATTTACCCTCAAGGCCTAGTGTTATAACTACAACATTCACGAGAACATTATGAAGAACACTGGATGGCCAAGCCTTTTTTTCATTCTGAACATACACCTGGAATAGATAAATTTCGCATCCCAAAAATTGCTTGCTCTGGAATAGTGGAATTGATCGGAGTAGATTATTTAGGGATGTGTACAGTAAAGCTATGGTTTTCTCAGTAGTGATTTATGGAAGTGAGAGCTGGACCATAAAGAAGGCTGATCGCCGAAGAATTGATGCTTTTGAATTATGGTGCTGGAGGAGACTCTTGAGAGTCCCATGGACTGCAAGAAGATCAAACCTATCCATTCTTAAGGAAATCAACCCTGAGTGCTCACTAGAAGGACAGATCCTGAAGCTGAGGTTCCAATACTTTGGCCACCTCATGAGAAGAGAAGTCTCCTTGGAAAAGACCCTAATGTTGGGAAAGAGTGAGGGCACAAGGAGAAGGGGACGGCAGAGGACGAGATGGTTGGACAGTGTTCTCAAAGCTACCAACATGAGTTTGACCAAACTGCAGGAGGCAGTGGAAGACAGAAGTGCCTGGCGTGCTCTGGTCCATGGGGTCACAAAGAGTTGGACACGACTAAACAACTAAACAACAACACAGTTGATCTAGAGAAAAGGTTCAATTCCTGATGGAAGCAGGAAACATTTCCTGCTCCCCACCATTTAAAAAACAAAACAAAACTCTATGCAGAACTACTTTAAATTTAACAAAAGAAACAGTCAATAAATACCTTTGGAACTTCAAGGCATATTGATGAGTTCACATCATTGATTGGTTCTTGAAATACAAAACTTTTGGCAATACCCTTGGGATCCACAGTAGAAGAGGTCCCCTGCTGATTATTTCCTCCCTTTAAAAAAATAAGACACTAATCAGGAAAATATAAATGGCCAAACTTTTTGAGAAAGAGAATGGCAAGAAACTAGCTTGCAGAGGGGCACAGCTGAAAAGTAAGCCAGAAGGAATGCAGAAAGTAAACTCAAGAGACACAAGTCATAAGAAAAGTAGAGAGTACAAATTTTATTGTAAAATGTTAAATGTCCTGTTTATACTTGGGCTCTCGGTGGTCTCCTATCCAGGGGACTGACAAGGTCCATCAGTATTTAGCTTGAGCAGTCTACAACATCAGTTATTCCAGCATCACTTGACTGCATTACAAACTTTTAAAACACTCGATTAAAAAGTTAAAGCTATGTAAATATGTTTTGCTTAGGCCCGTGAAAATCATAGATGATGATGAGCTTAGAAACTGTCCTGATGTTTTTCCTAACTTTATTTATGTAGTAACTTACTGAAAGCAATAAACCAAAGTAGAAGAAATAAAATTAGTGCAACATAAGGGTTTGGGTACCATTTTTATCTTGCCCATATGTCTGGCTTATTGGTTGGTTTGTTTTTGCTGTTTTCCTCACATTCCACTATATTTTTCTGTATTCTTATACACACATACATATTACTAGTTTACTGTATCTAGCTTATATAATAAGGTGCAGCATGTTAAAAAGCATCAAATCCAGAACCAATCATATCAGACCCTTTATAAGCAGCCATATGGATGAAGAACATAGAAGATGTACTCAGAACCATAAAGCCAGTAAGTAACCAATAACCAATATGCATATACAGTGGTACCTCTAGATGCGCATGCGCGTGACGTCATTGTGAGCCTCTGCACATGCGCAAGCGGCAAAACCTGGAAGTAACGTGCTCTGTTACTTCCGGGTTGCCACAGAGCGCAACTCGAACGCGCTCATCCGGAAGCACATTCAACCTGAGGTATGACTGTACTGACATTGGCCACATTTAAATGATAAGAGCGCCCAAAGGACCACCTGGTCCAGCATCCTCTTCCCACAGTGGTCAACTAGATGCCTATGGGAAGTCCACAAGCAGGACACGAGAGCAGAGGCAGTCACCTTATTTATTTATATTGGGATGTACAACTGGTATTCAGAGCCGTATTAATTTAACAGCCTTACACTATCTATTTTCTGGCATTTGTAACACTGCCCAGTACTAGTCTTGGGGGGAAACTGTAGAAAATGGTAGCCAAGGTGTTCAGGAAGGGGTGCAGCTTAGTGGTAGAGCATCTGCTTTGTACGCAGAATGTCCTAGATTCATTCCCCAGGCAGAGTTGGGATGAATTCTGTTGGGCTGCTGAGAGTCAGCACTGAACTAGAGGGACCAATGAGCTGACTCGATATAAGGCAACTTCTTAAGTTCCTAGGTGCTTATCACCATTCCTTCTAAACTAAAAAGCCCCAAATAATGCAACCTGTCTTCATAGGGAACTGGTCTAAGCTCTGTGTTCTGAACCTTTTCAAGCTCTGCAATATCCTTTTGGAGGTGCAGAAATCAGAACTGTACACAGTGCCAAGTACAGTCAGACAATAGATTTGTATAATAGCAGAGTGCTATATTGACAATTTTATTTCCTAAGGATCCCTAACACTGATTTTTCACAGCTGTGCCTTTTTCACAGCTATAGCACACTGGGCCAACCTTTTCACTGAGCTTCCCTGGTCATTTACTGCCAGTTCACAGTCCAGAACTATATATATGTAGGTCAAGTTAATACTTTTTGTACCAATGTGCACTTTATCCTTCCATTGTATTACATATCTTTCCATTATATCTGAGCTGGGAAAGTGTGATTGGAACAAGCCATGGCTTAAAGCTGGCTCCATATCCTGGCTGGTTTGGAAGCCATTACTCACAGTTTCTCGGCTTGAATGTAATGGGAAGCTATGGCGAACTATGACTTCCTCACCCCATTTTGTGCTGGTGCAAATGGAGGAGCAAAGTGGCTGCATGTAGGTGCAGGATGCTCATTCATATCATGGTTTATTTGATCATCAGAGAGTGAACATTATGCCAGTAATCTGTGCAGCAATGCACTCTCTCTATTCTTGAAGAGATTAACCCAAATTGCCCTGGGTCACAGGAGAAAAAGACTACATGAGACATCCTACACCAGAAGGACTTGTGCTACGTAAAAGATTCAGAAGAAATAGCTCAGTAAAAGTGGGCAAGACTGCATGATGACAGGAAAGGCCATTTAAAAAAAAATATGCCTGGAGAAAGTCAGAATTTTGAATCCTATTAATCCAAAATCATGTGGCTATCCTAAACATAAAGTTCTCAACAGTGGCATCCTCCTTTAATTAAGGAGACTGGTTAAGACATTCCTGTTTGTACACGACTTTGATTTCACTACTGTCTGCGATTTTATCTAGGCTGGCGGCTGCTGTGCTTTAAAATCACTTACGCTGCAAGGTATTGAACTAAGTCAAACCCAGATTAGATCCACTGAAATCAATGGATCTAAGTTGTATATTTTACTGAATTTTCAAACTGCATTGCAGCTAAAAGGGTGATTTCTAAAATAAATGGGAGACAGAAATCCCAACAAGTCTTTAGTATACAACAAGACTCAAACTCTCACTCCAAGAATATCAAAGAAAAATGTTGCTTTGCCCTTCAGCACACCGCTTCATAAGATATGCCATGCTCAAAGAACTTAGTGGGTCAGGGTCTGGTCTGCTTCTTGCAAGCCCCAGCTGGGTTGCATAGGAAACTCCACTCAAACTAGTTTTGCTGAATTTGGGAGGTTACATAACATAAGATGACCAACCCTTACCATCAAAGGTTTACAGATCCCAAGGTGAACTTTTCCTGGTGGCACAGATTTCAACACCTCTACAGCTTCTGCCAGAGTAGTATTGTGCAAACACATGTCATTTACAAAGACCAGACGGTCACCAGGGAAGAGTTCGCCACCACGCTCAGCCACTCCATTTGGCACCAGTGAACTCACCACAAATGCTGCCTTGGTTGGATCTAAGGGGTCCTGAAAAATAAGCAAAAGAAACTGTCATTTTTAAATGTAGATAGAAGGAATGCTTCCAGACAAGCAACATATGGTGTATATATATGTCCATCTACAGAAGGCTTCCATTACTATTTGGGCCACAGAGTTGAAAAATCCTAGAAGGAAAAGCAGCAAAATGACAAGGTTTGCCAAATGATAATAAGAATGTCACGAAGGGAGGGGAGAAAGAGCGCAAAGACTAGTGTCAGAGCACATGCATTTCAACAAGGAAATGTGGATATGACTAAAAAAAGGAGGACTGGAAGAAAAACATGGCAGGCAAGGCTACTCAGATATTCTACAATACTGTACATTGTCATCTCCACTAGAAAGGACACATGGCAAACAGATATTTTGGGGAACCAAATCAAGACACCCAACAGTAGACACAGACATTCACCAATGTGACAGGGATAAACAGGGAGTGGTTCTTTTATTCCGTGGAAAGACAAAGGTATAATAAGCAACAGCACCTTGACTTTAGCATGGTTTTCCAAGAACCTAACTGCAACAAAAATGCCCCCTTTATAGTTATTATTTCAGGATAAAGAGACAGTAAAGGGATGTGGAAGCCAAATTCTATTAGTTCTGAGGTGAGTCAGCAATTATCTACCCTCTCCAAAAATAAAATAATAATAAATCTAATTAAGAGCAGAATCGAAGCATACAAATATTCAGGGGATAAAATGAGGAATGCATTTGCTATAACTACGCTACCATTCTCAAGCAGAGGGAGCTCTTGTATAGGAAGAGGAGAGAAGCTACATAATGGGAAAGATCAATCAGCTAGAAACGGCATATTGCTGCACAGAGAAACTGGTCTGTCCCCCAAAAGGTTTGGATGGCAATATAGTTGCTGAAGGAGAAAAACCTACAAATCTAGTTTATTTTATAAGTCAAGCAATAAAAGATTCAAAAGCCACATTTTTGTTCAAAGACCCCAGTTTTTCACCCACAGGGTGTTAATGTATTAAATTAATAAATATATACACAAAACAAGAACACTCCATTATTAAAAATGAAGAATTCGCATTCAGAGCACAATCTAAATCAGGGTGGTCTAACATGCGGCCCTCAATGCCTTTTTTAGCAGCCCCCAACAACATTTCACACACAGAGACCCCTTTAGCCTTTCCAAAGCCAGGTAAGTAGAGTCCCCCTGCCTCCTTTCCAAAGCCTATTTAGCTGTTTTCCAGCTTTGGGAAGAAGGTGGGAGGCCTCTAGGACCCTGCCAGCACCTCACTTAGCCAGCTTTGGGAAGGTAGCACAAGGGCCGGGAGAGGGCTTTACATTTTGGCCCACCTTCCCCCCATCACCCCCACGTAACAAAGCAACGTGCAGTCCATAGGTTCCATGCTGACGCAGGTGGTGCTGTGGTCTAAACCACTGAGCCTCTTGGGCTTGCCGATCAGAAGGTCGGCAGTTCAAATCCCTGCGATGGAGTGAGCTTCCGTCACTCTGTCCCAGCTTCTGCCAAGCTAGCAGTTTGAAAGCATGCCCAATGTGCAAGTAGATAAATAGGTACCACTGCGGTGGGAAGGTAAACGGCATTTCTGTGAACTCTGGCTTCCATCACGGTGTTCTGTTGAGCCAGAAGTGGTTTAGTCATGCTGGCCACATGACCTGGAAAGCTGTCTGTGAAGAAATTCCGGCTCCCTAAGCCTGAAAGCAAGATGAGTGCCACAATCGTCTTTGACTGGACTTAACCGTTCAAGGGTCCTTTACTTTTTTTTCCTTTCCCCCCTTTTTTTACTCTTGTGGCCCACTTGGTATGAAAAGTCGAGCCACCCTGATTTAGATGCTTCCAAAAAGTTATTACTTTGGTCCTTCAAGCCTATATCTCACTTATTATTCCCAAATAGTTTCAAAAGCAAATAAAAAGGTCTTAGAGCACAGTGGCATGTTCTGAGTTACCAGTGCTTATTATGTACCAGATTTCATTTTCTTTCTGAACCTGGTGGCAGGTTTTGTGCCAGGATATCTGGGGAAACTCAGCCAGATGGGCGGGGTATAAATAATAAATTATTATTATTATTATTATTATTATTATTATTATTATTATTATTATTATTATTATCAATATCAGGTGCCCAGGAGCCATAACAATAAGATGGATTTATTAGACCTAAAGTAGACATTTCAGCATTGGCCAACAGAGGGCACTTACAGACCAGCAACAAGATCCATCACTAAATGCATCTGACGCTCTTAGCCAAAAAGTGTGTATGTGTGCAGGGGGAGGATTTATTTGTTTAGCCATCAGATTAAGATTTTTCATTATTATGAAAGGACAGTGGACCATAAGGTTAGGAAACAGCAAGTGAAGGGGCCACTGCTCAAGGCAGTGCAGGAGAAATCAAAACAAGATGGATGGACCTTGGTGGGCTTAGGCACAGGCCAGTGAAGGAGTTAAGCATGAAAGGATATCAAGATGAGCAGTGGAAGAAAGGTAGAAAGGTGTAATAAAGAGAGAAGGAAACAGAAGGAATAGGAAAGGGAACCTAGAGGGCTCTGCTAGGGTATGGTGCAATTGGTGATGGAGCATTGTGGCCACCGCCAACTGGGTCCAAGGGTGGAGCCGGAAACTCTGAGAATGAAGATTGCTTTATTGTTATCCCAACTAGGAAACCCAGCTGACATGGAAGTGGAAAGAGTAGCAATGACTGCAGCTTCAATAGCTAAACGTCTCTGGGGAAGACTCAAGATCCTTGAAGGGCAATAGAGGAAAAGCTGAACTTTATCTGATCGTGACTCTATTCCCAGTCACCCCCAGTGCGGGGAACAAACTCTGTGATAGAGCCCCAGCAATTGTGCCCTCCATTTTTTATTGGGAATTGTCAGTATCCCTCTTTAACCAGTACTTTTTTTCAGCCAGAACTCGACAGAATGGAGTTCCCGCACCTTTCAGGTGGGAGCCATTGTCATTATAGGAGAACAAGGGAGGTGTTTGTGGTGAGTTCCAGCACCTCTTTTTCCAGAAAAAAATAGCACTGATCTTTACTATGTTGAATTGCCCTAGTAAGCCCAGGACCTGGAACAGTTGGCAGCACCTAATTACCGTGGTACCTCAGGTTCCCGACGCTTCAGGTTACAGACGCCTCAGATTACAGACTCCGCTAACCCAGAAATAGTACCTCGGGTTAAGAACTTTGCTTCAGGATGAGAACAGAAATCGCGCTGCCGCAGCGGGAGGCCTCATTAGCTAAAGTGGTACCTCAGGTTAAGAACAGACCTCCGGAACGAATTAAGTTCTTAACCCGAAGTACCACTGTATTCTGTAACTACAGCTTCACTGAGAACAAGTTCGTGTTCACTGAGAACAAGTACCAAATGCCATTTTAAGAAGCACATGTAAGAAAATGCCACAGATAAGTCAGTTCTTGCCATTTGCTTTCCAACTATATTAGCTTTGGCACTCCTTCGGCTCCGGGTTCAGACAAATCAGCTTTCTGAGGAAAATTGGCATAATGAAGTCACAAAATACCTGCTGCCACAAAAATACCCAAATATAAATATATCAGAACTAACACTGAACAGAACAGCTAACAGGCACCAAAACAAATACATTTTCAGAGTCATTTGTCTGTACCATTTTAAGTTACCACCAGAACACTTTTGCTAGGGTCAGTTTGTATAAGCCACACATTTTGCACTGCAGAGCCAAGAGAAACACACATCACAGTTCACAAAATGCATTACATTTTGCAAAACATCATTTAGAGAATTAAACTATGAAGTTATTTCTTCAAACTCTGTTGCACATTTTCTATTTTATTCACAAAGCTCCTACCCTTTCTTCATAGAATCCTTTAAACTCTATAATGTTACCAATTCTGCACTGACACAGGGCTGGAGCACCATGAGGCAATTTTAGTTTTTACATGTGAAGTAGTCTTGCAAAAGCACCTGCAAATCATAATATTGCAAGTGACCACATCCTGAATTGCTAGGAAATTCACAGTGGTCACTCCAAAAGTTGTTTTGAAGATCAGCTCCGTGGCTGAGGATCTGCAGTCCTCATCACAGAGCCTGTGAGGAAGGGAGATATATAGGTAGTCAAGGCTCTGTAGCAGCTAGGTCATATTGCAAAGTACCGAAATCTAACAATAAAAATCTGAGAGCATGACACAGAGTCATTAAAACAAGGTCAACACAAGAAAATCACAATCAGCACAACAGGGAGCCAGAGTCGGGCAAAATAAAGCAGTCTTAACAGACCATCTCAAAATCATGAGAGAAATTGCTGACTGAATCTTTCTGGAAAAGGAGTCCCATTATATGGGTACCTGGATTGAAAAGCTCCTCTCCCAGGTCTTCACTAAGTGCACCTCTAACATTGGAAGAGTCATTATCTCAGTCCTACCTACTCCACATGGCTGTTGCAAGAGAGAATCTTTTATGTTGCCCTGAGTTCCTTAGACAAAAGGCAGGGAACAAATGGATTACACTGGTGCCTCAGGTTACAGACGCTTCAGGTTACAGACTCCACTAACCCAGAAATAGTACCTAGGGTTAAGAACTTTGCTTCAGGATGAGAACAGAAATTGCGCGGTGGTGGTGTGGCAGCAGCAAGAGGCCCCATTAACAAAAGTGGTACCTCAGGTTAAGAACAGTTTCAGGTTAAGAACGGACCTCCAGAACGAATTAAGTTCTTAACCCAAAGTACCACTGTACAAACAAAGCCACCTGAAGTCTATGGGTGATATTCAATTAAATTGTTGCTCTTGCGCAAGGATTAGTACTAGTGCAATGGAATTTCCTCCCCCTGCACGTACCCCATGCAATTCCCAAATCTGCTCCAGAGGCTTGGGGAAAACCCCAGAACAGATTTAGGGAATTTGTTGTAGGGAGGGGGGAAGAATGTGCAAGGAGAAATACTTGCAGTGACAAAACAGTTTGCTTAGTGCTACACTGAATACAACCCATCAAAATTACCCAAAGTAAGGACTGGTTTGCATAAAGACTTCTGTGGTAGCTGTTGTGTACAGTGAATTCCTGCAGCTCCTGCTTACACGCAGAGTTAACTGCATGAAGGCAGACCAAATAAAATACAATTAAAAAATAGCACACTGATCCTCCAATGGTGTTCCATGAGATATGTGCAATGATCGTCAGTGCATAGCCCCTCTCAAGGTAGCATGCCCTCCAACATGCCACATAGGGAAATAGGGACACACATCTTTCAGGGCTCACAGCCCCCCCCCCAAAAAAAAACAGGTGTATTTTGGGGCTGCGCCCTTGCGGAAGCCAAAACAAACATCTCAGTAGATAATCAGAAGCCAGAATGGCTCCTGAAATTCCAGGATGTCCCGCTCAAAGCAGGACAGTTGACGAGCATGAGTTAGACCCAAGGTATAAGACTCTGAGCAGTAACCATATAGAGGCCTGGATATATCATATATATCTGGGGCAGGAAAACTGGATCCAGCCAGTAAGCTGCATCCTTAATTCCCTCATTGGCCAACTTTGTTTTTGCTGTTGCTTCTTCAAAAGCAAGTTACATGGAATAAACAAGGGCAAGGTCTATCCTGAAGTAGTAGATCTCTTCACCACTCTTACTGAAAGATTGTTTTATGGAAGATGACTTTGTAGGAACAGTTTCAATCAGACACAGATCTACAAAAATGTCTATACTGCTGCCTGTCACGAAAACAAACAAGCAAACAAGAAGCCCTCACACTAAAGACAACAGATCTGAAATACAAATTACAGGGAATTCCACCCAAGCCTACTCTTCTCCAAAAGTTTGGAATGAGAGAGGGGGGGGGAGGCAGACCCCAAAACCCACAAGGTGAACAGAAGCCAGCCCCTCTAGATAAGAATATAAAAGTGCTGATTTACCACCATGACAGTGATACAACCCTAAATTGCATAAATGTATTCAAGTTGTTAAACTGAAGGGTGTTTTAGGAGTAGTGGAAGGCAGCATTTGGAAAATAAAACATGGGTATTTATTGATCTGCAGTGGCGAGTACAGCAATGAATTTCATACGCTTGCTATACATCTGGCATTAATCAAGGCTTCTGTTGTAGAAAATGTCAGTAAAGATCCAGAGAAAGAAACTACACAAAGAAGAAGAAAAATAACTGCAGGGAGAATTGGCAAAAATCATTGCCTAGTCCTAACATTTTTTCTTTCCTTTTTCACTTGGTGGCCTAAAATCCAGTTTCGATTTGTGGGGTTGAAATAACCTTTTCAAATTTTCTTCATCCACCCTCTCTCAAACCAAAGGCCTTCTAACTGAAAGAAGTGTATATACTAAAGTAAAAAAGGATATCCAAGGAGACACGTTGTACTTTAAAGCAAGTCCTTAGGAACAGGAGCCTAATCCTTGCCAAGATTGGCAATCCCACTTGGCCCAAATACAGATGCTTTCGGAAATCATATTTAACTGGTGTCAAAGCAGCAACAATAGAATTATTGGTGTTCCTGTGGCAGATGTTCAAATGCTATTTTAATCTGGTCATCATTTGGACTGGTTTGCTATGGGAGAGATTGTCAACCATGTATATTTGCTGAATGAAATCCCCAAATTCTTTCATTCAGAGGACCAACGTATTTGGTTTTCACCAAAAAATGTGTGGTTTAAAACTGCTGTTCATGTTACCAATAGTCCCAAGCACAACACAAGCGAAGTATTAAGTAGTGGCAAGTTCATGATAGTGATGGATTATTGCCGTAAATTATTCTGCAGAGCTTGCCTACGTGTGTGTGTTTATATATATAGCAAGCAGTAGCTGCATGGAACACCAGCAAAGTGATATCTGTCGGTCTTTATGATTGACATGAGATTTGCAAGCCGCCTCCCACTTCCCTTTTAAGATCAGAGCAAAACCACCTGTCAGTTGTTTCATTACAATGATGTCACATGATTGACAGATGGGGAGCCTTGCCACGTGTCAGATTTGGTGTGCAAGTCAGATGCTGGCAAGGATCTGACCCAAGGAGCCAAAATGGTTCCCCAACCCTGTCTTATATATCTATCTGTTGGGGGAGAAATCCCACCAAGCTCACTGGGGCTTATTTCCATGTAAAGATGCATAAAGTCTGCAGTCTTAGAAAGGGAGGGGGCAAGTGAAAGCATGAACTGAGCAAACGTAAGACATAGAGGATGGTCAGATGCAAAACTAGGCAGGCGGCTTCTGCAACTTTAATTGTTGTATAGAAGTAGGAACCTGGTTTTCTTTTCAACCTGAAAAAGGGAGGTATTGATGGGCTATACAGAGCAATTCTCTGCAGGACTATTCAGAAGTAGGTTCGATTGAGTTCCTTGGGGCTTACTCTTATGTAAGCATGTATAAGCAACTCCCCACTTATGTGGGTGTTACGTTAAGTGGGGAACATCCTCTTAACACCCTTTAAATGACCTCTGCCACTCCCTCTCCAAAATACTACTCTCCAAAATAATAATAATACTGTACAAAAAATATCCACAACTGGAATTGAAACTCTGGGGCCGGCAGGAGTGCTGCTGCTGCTGCTGCGCTACTAGGTGGGGTGGCTGAGGGGCCTAAAGAAAACGCCCTGCTGTGCCTCCAGTCTCTTCTCTGCCCTCACTTCAGGCTATCTCTTCAGCCTCTCTCCAGCTCTCTCATTCCATTTCTAGGTATGAATTAAACTATTTAATTATATACACAATCGTGCACAAGTGAAGAGATGCCTGTATATGACCGCAGCCTGTACATAGTTTCTTGGGGAAGTTACTTCTCTCCAAATCCTACCACTCTGCCAAACGTGGAATGGGTTTGTGGAACCATTTTGTTCCAGCTTTGATAGGTTCTGCCTATCATTTGGTGACATGCCCTCTGCCCCACCAGGCCCAATGGGCACCTGGATGTTGCCGCCCTCTCCACAGAGGGCATGTAATAATTAAAACAGCCCTCACATATTTGCTGGATTGTTTCTGAAAGGTGGAAGAAAAGGTACCTGGGGTATTTTCCAGGATAGGCATGACTAAACTAACTTGGAACATGAGATTCATGAAGTGGATTTGATCCAACATTCACCGGCCACCCTGATCAAAAGCCAGTTTACTCAAGCTACATCAGGACTTTTTTCATACCTCAAGAATAAAATCGCTTTCCACTCAATCCATTTCTTCCGTCTAGAATCAATTCCTGAATATCTTCCAGCCATCCTTTCAAACAGGCTTTTCTAAAACCACCTGCGCCTTTCCTCCATCCAAGCTGTGTGCTCCCTTCAGGCCAAAACTTCCTTTGGTGATATTCCATATCCTTTCCTGGGCATTTTTCTGCCCCTCCCCACTGCAGACCTGAAAAATCTCAGGCCAGCTGTCCTTGTAGAATTTTATACAAATCTAAAACCAGTGGATGAGATTTTTGACATTGCAAACCTAAAGCCAGCCGCGGACACTATAAAACCTGGAACGTTAACAAGGGAAAGAAGAACGCTTGTTTCAGCTACTGATCCATTAGTTAGTAGCCAAACCTTGGCTCTGAGTTTTATATCCCTTTTGATATTATTCACTTGAGGAAGCCTAGGAAGAAAAAGATATTGCCCAAGTTACCAAATTAGTAGAACCAGCCTAAGATCCCAAGAACATTGCATCCCTGATGTGCATCTAGTAGCAACAAGTGCAGATAGACAGGACAGACTGATGGGGGGGTGGGGTGGAAGCAACAAATCAACCGCTGAAAAAGGATAAAGGTTAACACCACACTTTTAAAGCTCTATTACACAACTTTAAAAGTCCTGGAGAAACCTAGGAATTGTACTTTGTTAAGGGTGCTGGGATTGTGAAGCCAGGACCCTTAACTAATTAGAATTCCCAGGATTCTTTGGGGGAAGCCATGACTGTTAAAATTGTGGTTTTAAATGTATGGTGTGAACGAGACTGGCTTCCATGCTTTAATGGCACCTCTGCTCCTTATGCTAATAATTAGGTAAAGGTAAAGGTACCCGTGACAGTTAAGTCCAGTCGCGAACGACTCTGGGGTTGCGGCGCTCATCTCGCTTTACAGGCCGGGGGAGCTGGCGTTTGTCCGCTTCCGCTGACAGTTTTTCCAGGTCATGTGGTCAGCATGACTAAGCCGCTTCTGGCAAAGCCAAGGCAGCGCAAGGAAATGCCGTTTACCTTCCCGCAGGAGCGGTACCTATTTATCTACTTGAACTGCGTGTTTTTGAACTGCTAGGTTGGCAGGAGCTGCGTCTGAGCAACAGGAGCTCATCCCATCATGGGGATTCAAACCGCCGACCTTCCGACTGGCAAGCCCAAGCGGCGCAGTGGTTTAAACCACAGTGCCACCCGCATCCCAATTATATAAGGGCAAAGATGTTAGAGAACTGTGTGGTTAACAAAGAGATTTAAAGCTGGAACTTGGGCAGAGCAAGGAATAGAGGATCTTACCAAAGAGCATTAAAAAACATAAATCAGCCTATTAATTTTGCATGCAGAAAAGTTCCAGGTTCAATCCCCACCATCTTTAGTTTAGTGCAGGAGTCTGCAACCTTTAAGACAAAAAGAGCCACTTGGACCCTTTTCCGAAGAAAAAAAACCTGGGAGCCGCAAAACCATTGCGACATTTAAAACAAATATATCTCCGGAGCCGCGATCTGACAGCGGGCGGGAAGGTGACGTCGGGACGGTGCGTGACTAATGCACGTCATGCGACATCACAGCCAGTACAGCGCCCGCCACAGTGCGCCTCCTCCCCTCGCTAGTATCCGCCCCGGAGCCGCGGCAAAGGTGTAAAAGAGCCACATGCGGCTCTGGAGCTGCGGGTTGCTGACCCCTGGTTTAGTGATAGAAACAAGCCCAGCAATGTTTCAAGTATTATTGATTGGTGTTGTATTATGTTAATGATTTGATAATATACCTGGCTTTACCATTAATCCTACAGCTAAATGCATTTTCCACAGAGCTTAGTTTTCCATACATTAAGGATAGTGCCTTTAACATATCTGATCGGACAGAAATTGAATAAAAACAAATGTGAAGCTGTTAAAACTGTAGACTAGGGAAAATCGTTAGAATTTTAGGCTGGAAACTAAGTGAAAACTTGCCAAACCATACACACAGTAAGAGCACTACATATCACATTTGTGCGGTCATATTTATAAAAAAGCTAATTTATCTTTCCAGTTCTATAATCTTATTCTTGACCAGAGATTGAAACTCCAGTCTGGATCATATCTGATTTCCAAACTTCTAATTTTTGAGGTTTGCTCATTAGAGACTTGTTTTCTTTCATAGACTCCATTTTGTGGAATGTATGGTAAATAATTGATTTTTACCAAGATTACTAATAAGCAAAACACTTGCATACTGTTGGCAAATAGCATCCATTTCTACAGCACCTTCTGTCCAAAGCCCTTTATGAACTTCATATGAAAAATAACTTTAAGTCTACAGTTCAAGTAAAATGAAGTCATCTATGAATTCGCCAGCAACACTACATAAAAGTTAGTTAGGAGGTGAGCTACTCATCCAAACAGAATGGTGGAGAGAAAAAATAAGGGAGCCAGACAATATTACTCAACCTAGAATTTGGCCAGAATATTAGATTTAACACCATCCCACATTTAATTACCAGGCATGGGGGAACCAGCAGATGTAGGTTTGTGCTGCATCTTGCAACACCACAAAAATCCTGAGTTATCAACTGGCCTATTGGTTCAGTAGATTAAATTAAAATTTATAGGTCACCTAACACAAATAATGCCTCCAAAGCAATTTATGTTATATAGACAAAAACATGCCAAAGAAACAACATAAAACTTTTAAGATACATCAGTCAACATAAACAAACAGTGAAGAAACCCATCAGCTAAAAGCAAATCACAAGCTCAAAGATGTTAAAACTGTTCTCATTGAAAATACTACAATCCAGGCATAGGGCTACAGGCCTAATTAGGCACAGCATGGGCTCAAATTTAGCCTGCAAGGTCATTTTTCCAAAACCATTGCACCTCTCTCCCTAAGCGGGGTAGAAGCTTCCCAGGCTTTTGGAAGGATGTGCCAGGGGAACATTTGGGGGACTAGTCTAGTCCTCCTACTCCACTGACCGCATACCACTGCTTCTGACATGTCCTGCACCCCCTTCCCTCCCTCACACTGCTTGGGCATTTCCTTTTCCTCCCACCCTGGCTCCTGCCTCACAGGTGGCACCAAACCTCATAAACCATTGGCCCCTTCTCCTGGGTCAGCCTCTACCACCACCCCTGTCTTTGCCACACATTCATCAGGGCCCTGCCAGTCTCTGGCAAGGTATTTTCACCCACACAGAGGCAGAGTTGGGTCACCAGCCTAAGCAGGTAGAAAACATTCCATGGCATGGAGATCACCCATGCCTCCATGACAGCGATGAATCCAGAATTATGCCAAAGCAACCTTCTTTCC